ATTAAAGTCAAATAGTTTATTTACTAAAGCGTTATGTTAGGTGAAGTGAAGGGATACAGTATTCAGCTCAAATATCCCACCCAAAAAATCAGCAAATCTGAATTCAATTGAAGTCTATAAGGCCCAAATCTTACTGTTACATTCTGAACATGTTAATGGCTAACAGGCAAACCTACTGTCAATCTACACACACGGGAACCATGGGGACCAAAAGTAGCCACCATCCAGAAGGAAGGACAGTGTCGGCACCAATTCAGAGATGATTTGAGGCTCTACAGCTGATTGATACACAAATAAGATCAATTTTTGATCAATAGTTAAGGTATTTTAATGCATTTTTAAGACTTAACTCCTAACTTTAGTGTCACTTTAACTTGGCTTACAAATGCCGACGCCTGGGACATGGAGTTTCGGGCGTTGGGCGAGTAGTTTTTTTCTACATTTAGCCTTGCTTTGGACAAGCAGAGCTAAATGTACAGCGTCGAGCCGCCGCTCGTTTTTATACAAGTGATCTGATTAGATCACTTGTATGAAATGAGCAGCGATCTTGTCCGGGCCCCCTCTGCCCCCCACCATGGTTTTTGGGGTCCCCCGCTTCTCTGAGGGACTCGGGACCATGGCACATGAGCTCACCAGTATAGAGAGTGTAGAGCAGAGCAGTTGTAATATAAACAGATTGCCTGCAGACCACAGAGGTGGCTATTTCTATGAGGATATGAAGAGGAAAGCTAACAAAAATGTACGTTTCTGTGTTCATATACAGCAACTGCATATGCCTAGGTGTACATTGCTGGTTTATGGGTTTTTTTTAAATACCTCCAAAAGGTGCAAATGGGCTTTAAATCTACATATGCAAAAATGTGAACATCACTACTATATTTATAATACCATTAATTACATATCCAAGTCTATGCCCAGAACATCTGTTCCAGAACAGTACTAATTCCCCTAACATAGTACAACTTATGCAAGCGTCACACACCACACCAAAATAGTCCCAATAATACTAACACTGAAAGCTAAACAGCAAGGTCATTTGATGCACCTAACAGGATATCTCAAGTTGTCACTTACATCAGCTATTCAAATGTTGACCATTTCTTCTTTCCTGGGTCTTGTCTTAAAGTGATATTGTCAGTGCAGGGTCACTTGTATACAAAAGCATAGCTGCTAAAAGAAGGAACAATATACCTACCTTTCTGGTAGCCCGTGTCTAGTCCTGGGGACACAGATAACAATAAATACTTGACAAAGGTTCTTCCCACTTCCCACTCAGTCAACGGAAATCTATTGCCATACAGTGCATCACCTTTGTTGGGATCTAATTTCATGACATCCACTGGTAAAAAAAATTATTTCAAAGCGTAAGCAGTCAAACAGATTCACAAGGATGAGCCATATCCAGATATCTAGCTGCACTTATGGTCAACATAGGGGAGCAATTCATTATTACAAATCTCTATGAATATGATAACCATCACGTCATCTTTTTTCAAAGTCTTATCATAATCCAGCATTTTGTCACTGGCATATAACACCAGGTTCTTTTATTACTTGCCACACATTTTCACTTGAAGCAATTACGTTTGCAGCCTTGAGTTTGTTTTAACCCTTTCACGGCTCTGACATATAACATACAAAATTAGCTTTCTTGGGAGCGTGGAGCTGTGATGTATGGTACAGATCTTTGGAAGTCAAATGGCAAAAACAGTGAGACGGAGTCTGTGGAATAACAGTAACTAGAAAGTTTTTGCTTCCTGCAAATAAAATGTTATTGAGTTCTGGATCATTGCTGTTGACATTGTCTTTTTTTTCATCTTCCTACAGTGTTTTCCAGGATATTGGTGAACATTTTTGACAATTAACACATATACTTTTCTTGTTGTAGGTAGTTTATTCTACTCCTATTCAATTGAATTAACTTATCAGGACAGGGCTTTGATGTAGAACATTGTGTTGTATTATATCTGAAATCCCCGCTGTTTAGCTAAATCCAAAATAAGTCCATGACCCAACTCCTGCAGAGCCTTTGAAGTCTAGGATTTTCAAGCAAGGCAGGATTCAACACTAAGTATACATAGCGATGTGAGGGCTTGCTGGATCACCACTGAGAAAATTAGGAATAGTAAGGCAGAGATGAGTTTTACATTCACTAGACAGGTTTATTTAGCCATGGCTCTCACTTTTACCTCCTCCTGCGGCAGATAAAACCTTGTTTCCTGATGTTGTTGCTCCTGTCTTCCGTGGGACCTACAGTGTACCTCTGTCCTGTGTACTTACTCTTGCAGCTACTTCTGTCCACCTGTTGACACATCTCTGGTTGCTCCCACTCCTGCAATCCCCCTGGCTTTTTCCTGCACTCTAGCTTACCCCAGTATATTTTCTGTACTTACTACTAAGGCCAACTGTGCATAGGAGGGGCTAAGCGCAGACATCTAGATGGTCCCTATTCCTTAAAAAAGAACTCCAGGAATGTTTTTTTATTAACCCTTGCAATGGAACTACCTCACATTACAAGGGTTAAGTGCTCATTTGTGTCTAGGTTAAAAAAAAAAAGAATAACTTACCAAAAGCTCAGAGCTGGTCAGCTGTCACGGCACTCCCTGCAGCCAGTCCCCTCCGCAGCAGCAGAT